TCAGAAAAAAGCAGGGCTAGCAATCCTAACCTCAGACAGTCTCAACTTCAAACAAAAAATGATCAAATGAAATAAAAAAGGATGCTACATACTGGTTAGGGGAAAAATTCAAGAGAAAGTGGTAACACTCTTAAATATGTACGCACAAAACACAGGAGCACCCAACTATATAAAATAAATCTTAATGGACATGAAAACTCTAATATCCAAAACCACACTCTTAAAAGAAGACCTTCACACACCTTTATCCCAAAAAGATAGGTCTACCAGACAAAAAAAATTAGCAAAGAACAAAACTGAAAAAGAGTTTGAAACAAATGGACTTGGTGGACATATAAAGAGTGTTCCACCCAAACACAGCTGAATACACATTTTTCTCAGCTGCACATGGATCATTATCTAAAATAGACCACATACTGGTCCAGACATCATGCTTAAGTATATGTATGAAAACAGAAATTCTCCCATGCACATTATCTGACCACAGTGCATTGAACTGGAAATAAATGAGAAAAAAACAGGAAAAAAAGCCTTAGTACATGGAAGTTAAATGACACCCTTCTCAGCAACCAATGGGTCACAGATGAAAGTAAACAAGAAATTCAACAATATCTAAAGTCAAAATTCAAGCACAACATGTAGGAATTTATGGGATAATATGAAAGCAGTTCTCAGAGGGAAATTCCTAAGCTGTGAACTCAAACATTAGGAAAACAGAACGGGAAAAATAAATACCCAATGCTGCACATTCAACAACCAGAAAAGGCACAGCAAACAAACACACAGCCCAAAGATGGGAAGAAATCATAAAGATTGGAGCAGAAATTAATTCAATGGAGACGAAGAAAACAATTCAAAGAATTAAAAAAGCAAAAAGCTGGTTCGTTGAAAGATTTAATAAAATCGATAACCTCTACCTAACCTCATCAAAAAGAGGAAAGAAAAAATTCAAATACAAGCAATAAGGAATGAAAAGGGTGTAATTACCACAGACTCAGTGGAAATTCAGAAGAT